AGAAAACAAATATTATTTCCTGTTCCCAAGCTTGGGTTCATTAGTTCACAATAGCACATTTAAAGGCATCTGGTGACACAACAGATTAAGCACTGGGCCACTAACACAATCAAAAGGTTGATGGTTCAAACCCACTAGGTGCTACTCAAGAACACTGAGACACTGCTCTCTTAAAGACTAAGAGTCTTGGGAAACCTACTCTAGGGTCATTATGGGTCAGGGTCAACTCTATGGCAATGGATTTGGACATAGTGTTTCAGAGGAAACAGAGGCACCCTTAGTGATTGAAATTAAGGTTCAAGTACATCTGATTATGAGGACTGTGCAGGAAAGGACAAGGTTCAGATCTATTGTTTATAGAACCAACATAGTCATAAGAGACTTGATGGCACCCAACAACAATTTCTACTTCCCAAGCCTGGGTACTGAATTATATTAAAACTCCCATTTCTGGGTATGCAGCAACTAAAAATTCTCTCCCAGCTCAAACTTGGCATCAACCATTTATCTCAGCAGAAGTAAGATTATTGAGTACAAAACCATAGGAAGCCAGCTTTTTTCTTTTATTATACTTGCTCCAGGGCGGGGTGAGTGTGTGGAAGAGTCCCTACTGAAATAGCACCTACAGCTCCTCCATTCTTACACTAAAAATTCAAGCACTCAGAGTTCTCTCCCCAAGGATAATCAGAGGCTGAGGCTGCTATGGTTGGATTAAGAGAAATCAGATGTGATAGGCCTTTGCCTCTTGCACTAATAGATCTCAAAATTTCGAGAAGCGGAATGAACAAGTTCAGCTTCTTTTTAAAAGAATGAAGAGGCAGAAAATGATGGAGCCCCTCTGTTTCACTGAATAGCACTTGTGACTCTGGTTTCGGAGAATTCTTCTATTTCCCATAGATCACTGTCAGAACTGGGAGTTTTTCTAGCATATGTCTCTGACAATGGTGAAGGTGGGAATTCAGTTTTAACAAAAAGTCACTGAATCCAAGCTTCAGTCCAAATTGGCAGGTCCATGAAGTCATGGAAGGAGTGGAAATTAGGCAAAAAAGTAAGAGTAAATGGACCTAGATTTGTCACAGTTCAAGATACACCCTCATGCATTTCAACGCCATCATCACTGCAGGAAAGGAACTCTGGTAGCCCAGCGGATAAGGAGTTGTGCTGCCAATCCAAAGGCAGGTGGTTCAAAGCTATCAACCGCTCTGCAAGTTAGGCAATCTCTTCTTGTGTGATTTACAACCTCTAAAACCTATGAGCCAATTCCTACTCAATGGCACATAACAACAAAGAAAAGCAGTGTTTTCTGTGTGAGTGCCCCCGTGTATGTAATTAAGCATAAATTATCAAGAAGTCATACATAATAATTTTAGGTTTGGCCTGCTGACCAAAAGGTTGGCAGTTTGAATCCACCAGCTTCTCTGGTAAAGATAAGCAGTTTTCTCTCATTAAGATTTGAATATGACCCACGGTCATCATTAAGTTGCAAGTGACTCAGTGGCAGTACTTTATAATCAACCCTTTAAAAAATATCACTTCAGAAAATTTCTAACCACTTTGCTCATATCTGTAACCAAGGGACAGCCTTACATTATTTCTCTAAGTAGTATTAAAGAGTATTTGTGAATATTAATTATTTTTAGTGTTACAGTGTGTTACATGCTTGACTTCTAACTGAAAGATTGGCAGCTTCCTCCCATAAAGAATTAAGACAATCTGATGGTGGGTCACTGTGAGTTGAAAGCACTGAGTTGGAAATCAATTAAAGAGGGGGATGGATGGATGGATGTTAAATGTTTTACATACATCATCATATCCAACTCTTACCAACAACTTTTAAAGATCAGTATTATTACTGTCCCCATTTTACAGAGGAAAAACGGAGCCTTTATGGTAAGTCATTTCTGTCCAAGATCATTCAACTTGTCATTGAGAGAAGCCATACAACTCTTAAAGTAGTGGAGGTATATATATCACCCATTAAGAAACAAATTTCTTCTGGCCAAATTATTAAATGTTACTGAGACTGAACATGGAACTGGAAAAAGTTGGGTACCTTCAACTCTTAAGTCATCTGAACAAAACTTCGCAATTTCTTCTTTGACACAAAATGTTTTAATGGTCTTATCTCTGCTCAATCTTTAGCTATCTTCATCCTGTGTTCCCACTTTGAAAAAGGACAGCAACACTAAAGAGGGGTTTAATAGAATACTGATAAATAAAACAAACTTTATTTTTTCAATGTGCAGAATACTGTTTATATTTATACCTATATACATATCATATTAGCCCCCCAAGCAGTGTGTAAAAGGACAGATTAGCCACCAGTTTAATAAAGACTAGGCTCTTATGCACAAACACTTGAGTACATATTCAAGTAGCATTTCTATTCCTGTAATGAAAACTGTCTGTTAGTGCACAAAATCAACATGACATATATTCCTGGAATACCAACCTCATGGCAAGGAGGATAAACTTTTGAAATAACTTGGGCAGTAGTGAGAGCAATTTTTATTCTTTAGACACTTAAATACAATGAACTACATATAAATCTGGCCAGATAGTTCTGGAGATCTGACCCACTAAGCTCTCCAAGATTCTGAAGTGGGGGAGGGCAATTTGGTGGTCTCAATTCCCCACTATCAAAAGTAACCTCCTCCTGTAGATCTGAACCCAATCCAAGAATTATGTCAATAGCTGCTTGTTTCTGCCTTGGTTTATGATATAAGTCACAGAACTGTGTAGGGGGTAAAATATGCTTAAAACATGTCCAAGCATGTTTTGGTCCAGTCAGTAATAGTACATAATGCTCATAAAAGCCCAGAATATTCTGGTGATCGAGTATGCAATACGCGGGATACTGCAAGTGTAAGCAGGTACTAGGCTTCGTTTCCCCCCTGCTGGCAGACCCTAGTAACTCTAAAACCAAGAGCTTCTTTGACTAAGACTACATCACATATTCCCAGCAAGTAGCTCTGGGGCTGGAAGCAGTACAGCTCCAGCCACAGGGAACAGTAAGAAAATTTTTAAAAAATTAAATTATTCCAAAACCCATCCCATTCCCCCAAGTCCTACCCAGGTGCAGGCTTCTCAAAAGACCTCCTGCAGAATCTTGAGTTTCCAAGAAAATAAACCCATTTGGAACTGACACAAGGTGAGGTCAACTACTGGGAATATCAAACGACTATGTATCGAACAGAGTCGGGTTCAGTTCGTGCCTCGTCTGGGCCAAACCTCACCACGAGGGTGAAGAAGGGAGGCGTGGAGGAGGGGAATGAAGGAGAGAAAAGGAGAAAGGGGAGACCTCCGGGCCACACTTCTTTCTAGTACCAACAAAAAAGGAAGCCGCATACTGACCTAAATCATCTCTAAAGGAGCTTTATAAATTACGGGGACAAAAGGAGGGGGTGGCGGGTGGCCTGGGAATTCTACGGACACCCTACCCTCTGACCCGCCCCCTCCCCCTCCAGCACAAGGAAAGGAAGACAGAAAACAGCTCAACTCGGCCATTGGCGAGAGCCCCCTCTGGTTTTCAGTCGCCCATCCATCCGCCCCCAGGAAGAAATACACATAAACACCATGCCCACCCCCCGGGGCGTTCACTCCCGCGCCGGGGCTCCTAGAATAGGAGACTGGGGCATTTACTTAGTTAGATTTTTCTTGCTTACTCATTTCCCTCGAGCACCCAACCCCCCGTTGCCACTCCAAAACCCCGCTCAACCGCCTACCCTCACGGCTTCAGCCCCCCAACACAAGCCGGTGCCCCCGCAGCGGCAGCAGCCCCCACGCCGTCCTGGTCACTAACCTGCTGCTGTAAGGGCATTTCCGAAACCAGCCTGGCTCCGGGGCGAGGTGGGGGGGCCGGCTGGAGAGGGGGCCCGGAGGGCCGAGCAGACCGGCGGCGCCGGGCGAGGGCGGGCACTGGGGGCGCGGGTGGGGGTGGGGAGGGCCAGAAGGGTGGCGGTGCCGGGGGCGGGTGTGAGGGCGCCGGGACTGTCCCAGGCCAGGGAACCGGCGAGCAGGAGGAAGTGGGTGCCCCCTCTCCCCCTCCAGCGCCCCCTCCCGCCGCCGCCTCCTCCCTAGTCACAGGCGCGTCCTCCGCGCACGTGTGCGAAACGTCACCGGCGGGTCCCGGGGAAAGGGACAGACCCAGGCGGCGGGACGGGAACCCGGCTGCCCCCGCCCTCCGTCGCCGGGGGGCGGGGAGGGGGACAGGGCGGGGAAGGAAGGAGCAAGGGGAGAGGCGGGTCAAGGGCAGGCCTGGGGCTTGGCGAGGAAGGCCCGGGCGCTCGGGCCACGCGGGCGCCGCCGCAGCCAGGATGCCCCCAGGCCGGGGCGCCAGCCCGCTAGCCCCTCATCCCTAGACAGTTCCCACCCGAGTCTGCACCCAGCTTCTACTCCCCCACGCTCCTATAGCCCCTTTGTTGCTGGGAGTTACAGGTCCCAAAATATGTCAAGCGCAGCCCAGCAGAGATCCTGCGCTCCAAATATGCTTCAGGGACCTCGGGTCGCCCATGGGCCTCCAAGGCCTGCTAGAAGCGATCGCTCCCGCAGCTTTCCAGTTTTAACCCCTGGGGTCCCCCCCTCAACACCCCAGTTCACTACTCCCTCCCCCACCCCCTTCTCCATCCGGGGCGTGACCCCTTCCTACGCTCAGAGAAAGAGGAAGCTTCGAGTTGGAGGGGAGGGGAGAAAGGAGGTAGGGAAAAGTGCAGAAAAAGAAGTGGGGGGCGCGAAAAGTTTTCGAGTGTTTGCTATGGTGGCTGCCAAGGCAATCCTAGGTGCCCAGCCAGCTATAGAGAGTCCGTGGACCCCCTGGGCGCTGGGGGAGAAAGCACATGTGTCTTAACAATGAACCCCTGTTGGAAAGGCAGTCGCCAAGGCCCGCGACACTCGGCCTCGCACTCCCACGGGGCAGCCCGCAGCGCACGCGTCCCCCACCCCGCACAGTACAGGACCACCTCCCGCCCAGGCTGGGAACCGTGGAGACCGGAGGGTATTACCGGAGGGCCGCCACCGCTGCCGCCGCGTCCCAGCGCTGGTGGCTGCTGCAGCAGCCCGGCTCTGCTGGAGGGTCCGTGCGGCGTGGTGTAGAGGAGGCTGCCCGCAGTCTGCTCCGCGCCGGGGGCACTGGGGATGAGGGGGCCGGCGGCAGTGCCGCCGCTTTGGAGGGAACAGGAGGTGGTGGAAGTGTTCGTGGTGAGGATCTGGATGTACGCGCCCGGGGCGGCGGCAGCGGCAGCGGCAGCGGCAGGGAAGCCCGAGCTGGCTAGCAGTGCCCTTTTGTCCATGGAGGCTGCAGCGGCGGTGGCGACGACAGCCGCCCCCTCCCCACCCCCGGCGGTCACCAGGTACTGCTCCAGTGCGGGCTGGATCCCCTTTCTCATCTCTCGCTCCTGCTCTTTTTTATTGTTAAAGTATATTAATGTATTGCTTTCAATTTCTTTATTATTTGCAGCTGGAGTTTGCAAGTCTCTCCTTCTGTCCTCCCCGCCCGGGCGCTTCCGAACCTCTCCCTTTATTTTTCCGCAACGAATGGGCCCCGGGGGCCAAAAATAATCGGGGCTCTGTAGAGAGAAGGGTCCTGGCCGCTCGGATATCGAACCCCGAGGGAGGATGAAGGCTTCGGGGGCGGCCGATGCAACGGATTGCGAGGCGGCGGGCAGCAGCCTGGGTGCTGCGGCCGGCAGCTGAAAAATGGCTCCAGGAAGCTGCTGCTGACAATGAATGAAGGGATACGGTTTACGCGCCAAGGTCCTCCCGCGAAACTCAGATTTCCCGCCGGCATTTCAAACCATATTTGCATATCCCCGCCCCACAACCTGCCGCGGACTGTTCCCATAGCCCATTGGGTCTCTATTGCCTTACTTCAGTCCCAATCGTGGAGCCGTACCACGACTTGCTGGTTTCCATTGGCTACCATGCATCATGGTAACCGAGGCGACAGGATCCTATTTGCATAAGGCTCCCTGATTGGCTGAGGGCAAAGTAGGGTTTTTTGGGGGGGGGGCCGCAAAACCTTTCCTTCGCTCCCACGGAAGACCACGCCTGGTCCCAGACCCGCCCTGGCCCCGCCTTCGCGCCGGGCTGGCGCGGCTAACCTGGGCAGCTACTCCTTGCGCAGAGGAGTAGGTGTCTATTTAGGGTACGAGTTTCGGTTTTGGAAATTTACAAGTTGACCAAGGGAACACTTTAAGGAACTCTTTTTATCTTTAACCAGGCAGTGTAATAGATGAATAAGGGCGGGAGATTTTACGAGTTACGTGCCAAAAGCAACTTCAACCATGCGCACAATGCCTGGCTGGTGGAAACAGAACCCTTTAAATCTTAGGTTTCTCTCTTCCTGAAATCCAACCAATGCCGCGGGGAGAGCAGATTCTCCGAGCCTGAAAAAAACACGTGGGCCGACAGAAGCGTGGGGGCAGAAGGCTTGGCTGACGTGACTGCGGGCACCTTTCAGTTAACGTTCCAGATGATTTCTGGTGCCTTTGGATTGAGTCTAAGTGAAAATTAGCCGTGTATATTTTGTCAAATGAATTCTTACTATGAGTATTCATTTGCGTCTAACAGACAATGCGTACCCCGCACTCTGCCCAGAACATCCAGGGCAGTTAATCAGGGATAACCTTAAACTGATCTGCAGGCTTCTACACCACCAAATCATAATCCTAAGAACTACATACTTCCCACCATGACGTGGTGCTCGCGAAAAGCGCTGCACGTCTGCGCACAAGCACTTTGCAGTGTTTATGCCCTTGGTTTCCTAGGAAGTTCACAAAAAAAGTGAACACGAAGACCCACATCTACTCGGAAGCATTTTGGAAGGGAGTTTTCTCCCTTTAAAATAAAACAAAACCGACATAAAAAACACCCAAAACCCAGAAGTTGTCGTTAGAAAAAAAAAATAATTATTGTCAAAGTTACTTCTGCATTGGTTCAAGTATATTTTTTTAACCCAAATTGAACATAAGTCTCTGTGAGACAGCAGGAAACGGAATCATGGGAATATGGAGAATAAGTGTAGTTAGCACCTGTGATAGGTGGTGTGCTGAAAATGTCAGTGGTTTGTTCTACCAGCTGTTGTCAAAGAAAGATGGAATGTCTCTTCCCTTAAAGAGTTATAACCTCAGACTGGGCAGAGGGTGCTTTGAGTCAGAATCTACTCACTGGCAGTGGGCTTGTTTGTTAGGCCAAGTTATCATTTTAGTTCCCCTCACTAAGAGTTATGCAAAGAATCTGGAGTGCAATACTTTGACCCCTTGTTTACAGAAACTTATTGCTACTATTTACTATTTTTATTTACTATAATTATTTCCTATTTATAATTTCCCAAAGCCTATATATTTCCAGACCTTACGAAAGGATAGAGAACATATGCCAGTTCTTAGTAGGACTCCTTAATACTTAAGTTCTGGTACTTGGGAATCCCTGGGTAGTGTAACTAGTTCATTGCTCAGTTGGTCCCTGGAAGGTTGGGAGTTCAAAGTTCAAACCTACACAGAGAAAGCTTGGTAGAAAGCCAAAAGATCAATTACTTTCAAAAGATCAATTACTGGAAACCTTCTGGAGCACAGTTCTACTTAACGGTATTCATTCAATGGGTTACCTTATCTGAAACAACTCAAATTCATTGCTATCAAGACTAAACTGACTCATAGCTAAACCTCCATTGGATTTCCAGAGGCTGTAAATGACACAGGAAGAAACTGCCTATCTTTCTTCCAAGGAGCTGCTGGTGGATTCAAACCACCAGGGAAGCATGCCTTTGGGTTAGCAGCACAGGTCAGTATGGGCTACACCACCAGGGCTCCCTTGTCTGAAACAGAATGAGCTAAAAGTACCACAAAGCCTGACAACACTTGCATTAGCTTTCTTGCATTGTATGAATCCTTGTGTTAGCGATTCATAGTCTAGTGTCCAAACTTTTATTGACACTCTGTCACAATTGACACTATCTTTAGGGCAGATTAGATGGTACTTAGAGGGAATCAATTCTTAATTGAACTAGATTTGCAATACATTAGCAACTTCCTTGATAGTCGCCCTATAATGCTGGTTTTCATTCTAGGTCACTATGGAGAAAGCAAAGAGCTCCGGTGACTTAGTGATGAGGAGTTGTGCTCCCTACCCAAAGGCACTCAGTTAGAATCTACCTGGTGCCCAAAGGGAGAATGATGGACAGTCTCCTCCCATGCAATTTAAATGCTCTTTTGGCTCTGACTCAATGGTACAAAACAGAACATGGCATGAAAAAAGCTAGTATAACAACTTGGCTATTGTCATCCACAGAACATCCCTGCCAGCATTTGTTTAGTAGTAGTGGTGAGGGATAAAGCATTTGATGCATTGTACAGGATCCTAACAGAACTTCATCTTAAGATGCAGGCAATCCTAGAACTGACCTTGTGCACAAAATCCCTGCATAAACTCCAACACTTGAAAGCAAGTATCTGTAGCCAGCTAGATACGTGTCTCCGCTTCAGGGTTAGAAGTCTTGTAAAATCTTTCTAATTCCCCTTAACCTATTTCTCCATATAAAGTATCAGATAAAACAAAACCAAAAGTTGTTTTGACATTTCATGTCTTGTGAACCCTACAGGAGGTACAGGTGAGGGTTTAAACAGAGAATGGGTTATTAAGAAAATAAGATGATAAAATTTGAAGCAGTCCACTAATTTGTGGAGCAGCAAGTTTTAGGGAAGGAGCCTTGATAGATCAACAGTTAAGCACGTGGCTGTAACCTAAGGTTGCTTTGTTCGAATCCACTCAACAGGTCCACTAGCAAAAGAGACGACAACCTTTGTTGGTGTGTGCCATTGAGTCAGAACTGATTCATAGGTGACCCTCTGGTGGGTTTTCAGAGGCAGTAATTGCATGAGAGGACAGTGTGCATCTTCCTTCTGCAGAACAGCTAGTGGATTTTAACTGTGTTCTTATAGGGGGCAGAGAAACTCCCTACCACTAAGCCCTCAGAGTTCGCTCCATAAAGATTAAAGCCCATGAATCTCTATGATGCAGCTTCAGTCTGAGTAAAAAATCAATTCTACAGCTCCTAATAAGTTTTTTTAAAAATTTTATTAATTTTAATGAACATTTACAGAGATTTTGGATTTCCATTCATTCATTG